TGATATATTTAACATGTTAATTTTTTCTCACTAAAACTAAGATTTGGGGGAAACAGTATGATTGCATTTTATTTTAAAAGTTAACTTTTTTATTACTAAAACATTTTTGGTAAAACTACATAATTGAATGTTCTTTATGCATTTTTTATTTTCAATTTTATACCTTTTGATTCAGTGATTGAAAGGTCTCATATCATGGTCAGTGTATGTTGATACTTGGGTTTTAGATGTGATAACTAAAATGCCACCTCAGATAGATTCAAATGGAAGAAGTACATTGTTTGGATGTTAAGTTTTCATCCCAACCACTATTTTTAGAGTGTATCTTTATGTCCTAGATATTTGATTGTTCAATGTCTTGCTAATCAATAACGTCTCCTTCACATTAGCTACTCTTTCAGCACATTATAGGCTTAGTGTAAGAGTGTGAGGTTTATTGTTAATGAGTAAATGTAAATATATTTTAACTGGTCTGCTGATGCATTTGATCTTTTTTTTTTTTTTTTTTTTTTTGGTTGACTTGTTACATCTGGTTAGATTGCCATGCAAATTTTACTTCATACTGTAGCTAACTGATAAAATTTGTGTATTAAGAGTAAGAGATCTGTATTGCCAGTTATTAGTACCAGTATTATTAGTGTTATGTGGGGATTTTTTTGCCAATTATTTGCAGGAATGATACTAGGAATAAATACTTTCTAATATGTAACATGTAGATTAGCACTGATACCTCCACAGAGTCCATGTGTCTTAGCTTTTTACCTGTCACATGGGACACTCATACAATTCTTCCTTTACATGTTTGATTACTGGCTAAATCTAGATAAGTCACTAGTTCACTCTGCTGAGCTCTCATGAATCGTGTCACAAGACATGAAGGAACAACCAAGTGAAGCGCTGTCTACTTAATTTTGTTCTGGAACTATCCCATTTCACTTTCCCCATAGATATAGTGGGTGCTCTGTGTGACAGGAAAACACCTGATACTTGGACAAGGGGAGCAACCAATGCCAATCCATGTATTATATACTAGTAAACAATTATTTTCATGAAATGTCTTTTTTAAAGATAAGTGGTAATATTTCTATACTTACTGGATGATATATATTTTGTGGATTCTTTGACTCTACTTTGGGGGATTTTGCTCTCTATTACCACGTAAAATTTATCCCTGCATTCCTGGCACTTAGCACAAGGCCTGACACATACTAGGTGCTTGGGGTAATTTTTTGGTTGAGAGGCTGAGGAGACTGACCTGATCCAAATAAATAAATAAGTAGTGAGACATAAATGTATGGATGGATATAAAAGCTAATAAGTCATATTGAGAAGATAAACATTAAAGGGGCTGTTACAATTGGAGAATGGGATTATTTATGGGGAAAAATTGGTAATACAATAATATATAGTATGGGAGCAAATCAAAGGTGGGAAGATAACTTTGTAGACCAACACATAAACCTGTGATGCCATCACTAAAGTTTTGTCAAAGGGCCTGAAGAGAAAAAATAGGGCATGTCTCAGTTTTTTTAGATGTGAATTAGGTGTACACGTTTCAATAGCTTTACTTTAAAAAATTATTTGTTTATGAATGATATTAAAACTTCACTTTATTATCTATAATATTTGTGTACTTTTTTCCAAAAAGTAAATCATTTCTTATATCCATATTCATTTTTTTATGGTTGGTAGCTAGTTGATTTTTAAACATCTTCCCCAGAAGACATGTGCATGCTATCTTTTAATTAGATGTGGCAGTATAATCTTGTGTTGGGGAATGCTCTTTTTCTGTTTTTGGAGGTAAGTTTCCAGTGAATACGAGTTACCGTTACTATTATGATAACAGCAAGCTGGTCTTCTTTTTAGCAATGCATGCACCAGTATTTTAATGGTAAATAGTCTATAATTTTTGTCTTGTTTTCTGCCTCTTGTAAGCATATATTGCTCTTAGTAGAACATCTCCTTAGGTTGATGGTAATGTTTCATGTTATTCACTCAGTAAACTACCTTAGTGTTTAAAAATGCTGTGTTTATACATTTGATCACTTAATTTTTTTCCTCTGTAGTGGTTTGGTTGGAATACAGAGTTTATGTAGTATGTATGTGTTTATTTGGGCTGAGATATGCGGGAAACAGTGTTGAGGCTAAATTCTCAGTTTTCGCCAAAATACTTGTTTATTTCGTCTGGGATATGTGGGAAACAGTGTTGGGGCTAAATTATCAATTTTCATCAAAATACTTGAATGCAAAAGATTGAGGCACCTCCTTTGCTTTCATACTAGTTTTCATCAACTGTTAATACCCTTAAATTATTAACACCTTAAGTACTTACCTCTTTTTTTCCCCTCAATTAGAATCAGAAAACATGAAAAATATCCCATATGCATATTTAGCATAATCAATTGACCTAAATAAAGTAGATTATCTAGTTGGGAAATAGATTCATATCTAGTCTGTCCTCCATTTGCTCATTTCAGCAGCTACCAGCCTATTCTAATACTACGAAGAGGTATTGGAGAAAGAGGATACATATGATAAAGAATGAATGGAACCAGGTGAAATGAAGATGCCCAAATTAAGATAGAAGGAAGTGTTGTGATACAGTCAACTCTCACAGAATCCTAGAGCTAAAAATTTTATAAGACTAGTGTGACAAAATTGGGTAGATTGTAATTAAAATGTTTAAGAAATAATACATACTTAGACAAGCGTTACTTGAATATATTAAAAAATAGTATTTAAAGTTGGAAACTAAGAGATTAAAAGTCTACATTATGTTGTTTTATTACACAGCACTACCAAACCTTAGATTATTGCTGAAGTTAAATGAAAGGCTTTCTTAGAGGAGATGTATAGTTTGATAAAAATTTGTAATGATCTCTAGATTGAGAATCTCAGTTTGGCCTCAAAGAGTAACATGAACTTTTCAAAACCAATTTTGAAAAAATTTGTCATCAAAATAAGAACAAAAATTTAAATTCTGTACAGTTGGGCAAACATGATAGGTCATCTTTAGCAAAAGAAACATTTCCAAGAGAGGAAAACCTTTAGAATAATTGATGTGGAGTAAATAACATACTTGACAATTAGTATTTTTTATTTGTGCCACTGACTAGAGATGTATGACTTTGGTCAAATGGCATAATCTTAATAGTTTTAACTGGCCTATTATTAAGGATTGAGTAAGACCATCTACTTTATGGCTGTGTTCAGTGGTTAAAGCTGTAATCTATATGGTGGGGAAAATGATAATAGAGATTATCCGTAGGTCATCCCAAATCTCACATTTACAAGTGCAGAATGATATTTGAATGTACTGGATTTCAATTTTTTTTTTTTATCTAGTACATATCCAAATAGAGATAGATTAGAAAATTGAGCAACAATAGATAAACCAGGCTGGTATTAGCAAATGAACGTCACCATGAATGATTGAGTTATAATGTTTCAGAATCTATACATTGGAAACATTATTGAAATGAGTGACTTGCACTTACTGGTGTAAGATCTTTATCTCAAAATGAGTCTAACAAAATAAGCCATTAATAAACTCAGGATTGTTAGTATTCTAAAGACATTTTTATAATTTGAAAGAAAGTAAAACATTCTTTTTGGTAATCTAAAGTACCATGTTACCCACATTTTAATAAAAACAGAATTAGAAAATACTTACGTATTTATATGGGAATACTATCATGGTAAGTAGGTGAAACATATTTCAAAACCAGCAGTGCTAATTCTGTAACTTTGCTGTGTCTGGTTCACAATTATTGCAGTTGTTTAAGAGTATATGTGAGATTATGTCAATTTAAGTAAAGCTGAGACTTCTTCATTAGTCTATATTAATGTTAACAAAAACATTCTTGTCTTCCAACAAGGGGTAACAGTGGAGGCTTCTACCCTCCTCCAACCTAACTTTATTTCTCTCTCTGCTCTCTACTATTCATTGATTGAATGGTCTTGGCAGATTATTTAACTTCAGAACTGCAATATCTTTATTTATAGAATGTTATCTCAGTATCTTTTTTTTGTTGGTAAGAAAGACAAAATCAGATGTGTGAAGGAACTTTGTAATTCACGAATCTCCACAAAATTTAGTTACTGGATTTAATATAGCCGAAATTGTCAAAGTAATACACATAAAGATTGTTTTGTTACATTCCTTAATACTTAACATTTGAAAATATGTAGTACTTGTAATAGTTTTAGTACATTCCGTTATTTGGGAGTTCATAAAATTGTTATTCAATTTTCTGGGAAAAGTGTGAAATGCTAACAGCCAAATATGTTCTTTAAATCCTTTCTTACAAAATTGTGGTGCAGTGTGGGAAAGAGAAGTTGGTATTCAGAGATGACATATGTCTATGGCCAGGAGATAGTAAGAATTTCTATTTAATGTTGTAGTAGAGAAGCTATTTTTAGTGCACTTTGTATTAAATGTTCATGAATTAAGGGAAATTTTGTGCGAGTCCTGTTTTAATATTTACATTTTAAAATACTTTTCAAATTTTACAATGTCCAATGTCAATGTTTTTTTGATATGGGATATTTTCTGTTTCACACCTGAAATTTTTCAATTTTGTTAATAGTTTATTTTAAGAGAATAAAAATGCTAAATGTCTGTATTACTGGTCGTTTATATTAGAGAATACTGATTTTTAAAATTACCTTTTAGAGTACAAACTTAAAATTACTTTCATCTTTTTCTCTATCTTCTTCTCCAGATACTCTTTGCATATCGAGAATATTTTCTCCTGATGATGTTTGGGGATACTTACATAATTTTTAAAAAGTTAAGTTGAGGTATTAAAGTAATACAAGAAAGAAGGAAGGGTTTTAGCATAATGCCACTAAACCTAATGAATCAAATTTGGGGTCCTGTAACCTGGCTCTTGAATAACATACTTCAGTCAAATAGTTTGCATATTGTAGAAAAGGTATGCAATTTCAAGAATTAATTTTAAGATTATTTGAAAAGCCTAATTTTTGTTACTTTACAGATGTTCCATTTAAGCAGACCTCTTCCATAGCTGTAGCTGGAGCGGTAATTGGAGCTGTTCTTGCCCTTTTCATCATTGCTATCTTTGTGACTGTGCTGCTGACTCCCCGAAAAAAGAGACCATCCTATCTTGACAAAGTGTAGGTAACTGTTTCTGCCTTCGTTCAACTATGCATATCAGTATGTGTCTATGTTTACCTTTACAGCTCCTCATAAAGAAATTAAGGGATAGAAGTAAGGATAATATTAGGCCTTTGTTAGATGACCCTGGTTTCATCAGATATCTCAAACTATATCTTGGTAAATGAACATTGTCAAGGGACTGCTAGAGGTATAGAACAGCTTTACATTTTTCACCTAGAGTGTATTAGACATCTTTCTAGAGGGTAACATAGTAATACTTTATGTGGTCCTGCCTTCTGAATAGAAATGTAGGTCTTTCATGAAGTGGTAACCAAAAGACATATAAAAATATCTTTGAAGTTTTAATGGCTTCTTCAGGTTGTATATGCATGTCTTATGTATAGATATAACTTTGAACTATCAAGTTATTAAATAGAGTTTTATAACTTTTTTCTTAAAAACACTTTTTTTAAGTGAATTGTAAAATATACATCTTCTTATTTAAAGAATAAGCAATATTTTTGTCCTAGTCATTGAGATAGAATTGTAAGGCAGAAATTGCACCGTGCAGTAGAATCAGATGACCACTGTCTCAGTTCTGTTAATTCCATCAACAGCTTTGTTGCTTCATCTGAGAAATATGAATAATCCTCTTCCTACTTGCCTCACATGGTTGAGATGATAGTAGAATAAGATAATATTTTATAAACTGTGAAGCTCTTTACACATGGCATTATTTCTTATGTGGTTTATTAATGTTTTTATGTTAGGACATAAGATAGTTCTGTCTTCATAAATGCTTTGTATATGTCTTTGCTTCTCTAATTTGGCACAATTATAGCAGTAGTCTTTGGATCAAAGACACTTGTGTGTTAGTTACAGCTCTGTCATGATCAAATTAGTACTATGACCATGAACAAGTAAGTTACTTTATCTCAATGAGCCTCAGTTTTCTCACCTAAATGGCCTGTGGCACCTTGGAGCTAGAAATTTGCTGTGATTTTCGTTAGATAAGAAGAAACAATTATTTAAACAAAGGATGAAAAAATGCTCTTTCAGTATAATACTTGTGGGACTGGAGTCCTTCAATCTTTCAAGAGTGACTAGCATGTGGTTACTTAATCTTAATTTCCAGATTATCTTGGCTTTTTTATAATTTCAAAAACATAATGTACTGGTAGGCTAACAAATTAATGTAGCCATTTTATTTATCACTTAAGTTTTAATCATTTAAAACACTAGTTTATGTTCATGGAGACATTATTAGACCACAGAATTTATTACTTCAGGATCTATAGTTTTCATTCCCTTTATCCTTTAATATAGTTAACTTTTTGATTTTCTAAGCACAAGTACTGAAAATGTTATCTGTGATCTTCAAAAGCATGAGACTATATAAAATCTTGTAAAATGCAGAGAGGTACAAGGTATATTAAAACCTATATTTGTTATAAGTAAACAATATTTAAAATATATGAAAATGTTGATTTTCTGATATGCAACTTTGGAAAAAATAAATGCATTCACTAAAAATGTAATGATTATTTTGTTTATTTCAGATGGCAAGATTTATAATGGTCTGTAGATTGAAAAAATTATCTGACAATATTGTAATTGTGACTAAAGCTTTTGAAAATCAGTTTTGGAAGTATTTCTAAAATACAGTGTAAATATTTCTTATTACGACACTTTGGAGGAAAGTGTAGTGACACTCTAAAATGTTGATAGACATAGTCAAATATTAAAACATGCACTAAAGTCATGTCGTATACTGAATTCCTTAATTTCAGTTCTTCTATTTTAATTCCTTCTTTAAACATGATTGGTTCTACATACAGGAACCTTTAACACCAGTGTTTACTTTTATTTTTGATCTTTGATAGATTAATGGCAATCTAAGAACTGAATTAAACATGTAGGCTAGTGTAAATATTATATAGTATGAGGAAAATATTCTCAAAACTTATGAGAACCTTGATTTTCTTTTGCTCTTTTTTTTTTTTTTTTTCCTAAATGTGACAATCACATATTTTAACCTTTGCAATGCAGGATTGACCTTCCACCCACACATAAACCACCTCCTATGTATGAAGAACGATCCCCACCTTTGCCTCAGAAAGATCTGTATCAGGTATGTGTTCATGAGTACACTTAAGATAATGTGAGAGACAATAAAAAAAATACTAAGCCATTTATATTATTTCTTTCAAAATGTTGTTCAGTCATTATGCATTAAAGATTACATAGCAGTACCTAAGTTTTAACTTGCTCAGTCATTTCTCTGAAACATTTAAGAGATCAAATTTTGTCAACAAGTTGTTATGGCCAGTATAGATAAGACAAATCAACATTATATTAGGCTTTTTACTGAATACTTGTTGAAGACTTACTGTTAACACAGTTTTATTGACATACAAGTTTATTGTAAAATAAAAAGTAGAAAATGAATATCTGTTGAGTAGCATGAAGGGCTTCTTTTCCTTGGAGTGTACAGTATTTTATTCTGTTTTGGAATCAGTTCCCATTAATTCATGTGAAAGTATGATTCAGTGCTTTTATCTTGTATTCTATACCTGGATTAATGTGCTGTACTTGTTATTTGAGAAAGTTGTAAACTGTCAGAATATTTGAATTCTTTGATTCTCAACTTTAGTGGTTGTGTTTGTATGTTTGTTTTGTCTTTTTCTCTATCACCAACACAACCTATTGGATCTCTAAGCCTGTACTGGGGTTTTATAACGTCTGGGGGCATATCCTATAATACTTTCCTCCTAAAATATGTCCTGTATCTTCAGCCTGAATAAGGCAAATCATTAGCCCATCCATTCATTGATTTAATTTGGTGGAAAAATTCTAAAGGAATGTTTCTGCCAAGATGTTCTCAGCTTCTCTTCCTTAGCTGACTGTGTAGTCAGTCTACTGACCAAGAATGGGGCAGGAAGGAGCATTCCCTGGCACGTGGACCCACTGTCAGTGGGTGCTAGCTTTGTCATCTTGCACAGTTAGGTGTCCTGATAGTGAAGATGTGCCATTTTTTCAGACCTTTTGTTCTCACATAAAGAGTGTAGTCTCATCTCTTGGCAAATAAATGAAATTGACAAGCAGTGTGAAATGTCATAAAATTCTTAGCTGGAGCTGTTGGGTTTTTTTGTTGTGTTTTGTTTTCGTTTTGGTTTTGGTTTGGGTTTGGGTTTGTTTTTTTGCCAGTTAGATAACTGAAAAAGTAGCTCATTAAAATGTTTTGTAGATTCCTAGATGAAATTGGTCTGCTTTTCATAATCGATTGGCTATAGGTATTAATAATTATGTAAATTACCTTTTTGCGTCATTTTTCAAATTTTTGGTTACTTTTTGAATTTTGCTTCTTAGTTTTTTTAGGAACTCTTTGATATGGATAGTAATCTTTTGTATTATATTCATCTCTTATTTTTTAACCGTATAGTGTCATATAGAAAATATTACGTTTATATGTAGTAAAAATCTATTTCTTTCATTGTGTTTGTTGGAAGTTGTGTGTTGTCTGAAATTACTTCCTTACATTTCCTTCTCTCTCCTTGAACTAGAGTGTAGAAAAAAGTCTTAGAAAACTAATAGTTTTGGCTCACTCCTGTAATCCCAGCACTGTGGGAGGCCGAGACGGGCGGATCACGAGGTCAGGAGATCGAGACCATCCTGGCTAACGTGGTGAAACCCCGTCTCTACTAAAAATACAAAAAAATTAGCCAGGTGCGGTGGCGGGCACCTGTAGTCCCAGCTACTCGGGAGGCTGAGGCAGGAGAATGGCGTGAACCCGGGAGGCGGAGCTTGCAGTGAGCCGAGATTGCGCCACTGCACTCCAGCCTGGGAGACAGAGTGAGACTCCGTCTCAAAAAAAAAAAAAAAAGAAAGCTAATAGTTTTATGGTTTATGTTTCATTTTAATCTGAAACTTTATTAAACTTAATAAAGAGGTAGAGACCCATTTTTTCCCAATGGGATAACTAGTTGTCCAAATACTTTTCAATTACCTATACTTCTGCATGGTTCAAGAGCACTTTTACCCTAAGGTAAATTCTCATACATATTAGGTCTGTTTCTGAACTCTTAATTCTGTTATATTGCTATGTCTTTCTCTTCCTAAACCAGGATACTGGTATTTCAATTATAATTGTTTTATAATATGATTTGATATTCAGTAAATTCCCTTATCTCTGTTCTTGCTTTCAAAATTTTTCTTGACTTTTCTTTTCTCTGTCTGCTTCAGAATTACCTTCCCAGATTCCATAAACATTCTATTGAACTCCTGAATTAATTTAATAAGAATTGACAACTTTATGATAACGTCATTTCTTCGCATCTAGAAACCAGATAAGCCTCTATTCTGGTTTCTGGTGGGGTGTGTCTGTGTGTGTGTGTGTGTGTGTATGCTGGAATAAAATCTCTTTCTGGTACATGCTTTCCACATTCCTATTAGGTTTACTTTAGGCATTTTAAGTATTTTGATAGTCACTGGGATTTCTCTCCACCCTCCCCCTGTGAACTTTTTAAATTGGCTATTAGCATATAGAAATGCCTGATTAAAAATATGAATCTTATATGCAGCCTCTTTTATCAAGTTTTTGATTCATTCTAATGGTTTTTCATTTTATTTTTTTAGGAATATAATCTATTTGCTGCAAATGACAGTTCTCCTTTTTATCCTTTGCATATTGTGATTTCTCAGGGGAATACATATGAGGGGTTTCCTTATGTCATTCAGTTTTAAATCTGATATGAAATAATTGAAGACTAATATAGAATTTCCTTGCATTAAAATTTTTGAAAACACTGCATTCTATGAATAATGCTGTTTTTTAGCCTTGATTTGAAAGAATTAAAAACATTGTGAAAACTATTTTCCAAATCAACTAAAATGATCTAGGGAACATTTTCAGGAAAACATATCTAATATTTTGAATATAGTTGGATTTCTGATATGGAAAAATATTAATGAAAATGTGAATCTTTTAGAATAGTCTGTGTTTCAGCCTAAAGTAGCATTTACTCTAGAAATGATGACCAGGAGATCCCATGAAATGGATATTTATTTGACTCTACTGAGAGTGATAATAGGAATTTCAGTCTAGCAGCAATATTACGGGGAATGAGGCTTTTGAAGTTATTTTTACAGTGCTGACATACCATGTTAATAAAAGCTTTTCAATCGCTTGAACTATCATGAGATTTTTCTCTCCTTATACCTATTTTCACAGTAGTTGTCTGTCAGATGATTTTTGGTAAATGTTTAATTTTTAACAATCCTAAAACAGTTTTATGAACAGTATTTCACGTGTAAGAATACACATACCAGTTTTCATGACAGATATTTGGTTTATGTATACACAATATGTATATTTGTATATGTGTGTGTAAGCTTTCTATGTGATGAAATGTAATATATGCATAAAGTACTTTAATGAATGACACAGAATATAAAAAGCTTATTGGTATGTTTTTAGATTCCACATAGCAACTAACCATAAGAAACTACCACTTGTAGCATTTTAGTTTAGTATTGCAGAAGTATTTTTCTAATTATCTGAAGACTATTGAAATAGTCTCCCTTTTCCAACTAATGTATTTGTGTGAAGCTTTTATGTTTCTTTATATACTTCAACTAAACAACATATTATGGTAGACTGAATGCTGTAGCAGATATGAAAATCAAACTTTCCTCTTTTGACCCAGATATTAAAAGATTTATAAAATTTAGGAGATACTGTTTATATTAACCTATAATAGGTTTCCTATTCTTTTTAAATGAATTAAATTTTTAAAAACTCTTAGTTTAAATGAATAACATGATAAATATAGATAGCTGTTATTCCTATAAATGAAAGTGCTTGGGGTTCTCAAAATGTAAAGGTTCGTAAAGGGGTCCTGGGGCCAAAAATTTGAGAACTGCTATTGTAAATTTTAAGTGGTATGAAGGCAGGGGTCATGTCACTGTGGTTTAGTACCATAATCTTAGTGCATAATACAGTGCTTGGCACATATAAGTACCTGATAATTTTTTTTTAATTTGACAGATCAAAATTGTATATTTTTGTGATATACAACATGCAACGCGATGCTTTAATGTATGTGGAATAACTAAATCAAGCAAACTAACATATGCATCACCTTATGTATTCTGATAAACAGTTTTTGAATGAGTAGGTGAAAGAATCAAGCCCTTTTTTATATCCTCTTCAGTTTATAATCTGTGAAAATTTCTGCATCATTTATAATATCCGTATCACAGATACTATATTTCAGTATATTTAATGTCAGTGTCCATAATATCACTGTATCAAGTATGAGATATCAATATATAATATATGTAAAAGAACAGAGAAAAACAGACTATAGAAATATTTTTAAATGTTAGCAATTATCTTTGTAATAGATTTCTCAGTGAATATTATTTTTTTAATATTTTCTGTAGTTTCTGTTTTTTCTGTAGTGCCTTTACTCGCCTCTGTAAGTAGCCTTTTAGCATAGGAAAATAGAGATCTATTGAATACCTGAGTCACTGACCTGGAATGTTAAGCTAGTCATACTGGTCAGTGTGTCAGCAGTGTTAACTATCTGAAAAAACTGAATTTCTTTCCAATAATTTACTATAGTATATTTCTTTCTTTAGTAAATGTTTGTAAATATTCATGACAGTGTTAGTGGAGAAAGAATGTTTTTACATGTTTTGAAGTGTATAGATAATACATACACAACAATATAAAGAGTTGTTTTCTAAGGTCTCATTCCCATACCTATTTACCCTACCCCCATCATCTACAGATAACCACTTTTATTAGTTTATGTCTTCGTACTGTTTCTTTAAGCATAGACAAGAAAACACACACATGCACACACACTCAGGTGCATTTTAATTTATTTTCCCCCTGTTTAAAAGTAATGTATACATATACCTTGTTACATATCTTGCCATTTTCTCCTAAAATATACTGGAGATCTTTTATTATTGAGATGCAGAGAGCATTCTCAACCTTTTTTATGTCTACATAGTATTGTAATGTGTGTATATTACGTAGTTTGCAATGTCAAAAGATTTTAATAAACCAATAATGCTATAACGAATAGCCTGGTATCTATGCTCTTTTGTATGTATGCAAGT